CAGTACATATATACACATACACACAGCACATCACGCATATACATATCACACATACACACAGCACACTTATGCACATCACACTTACACACAGCACACCTATACACATACACATCACAGATATTCATCACACATACACACGGCACACATATACACATGATCACAGCACACATACACATATATACACAGCACACATACACATCACACATATACACATCACACATACACACAGCACACATATACGCAAAAACACATCACACATACACACAGCACACATACATAAATACATCACACATATACACGTACACACAGCACACATATAGATCATGCATACACACAGTACACAAATCAAATACATATAGTGTATATAATACAAAAAATGGTACACATCACACACACACATAAACACACGTCTAAACTACATATGAGCAGCATAGTAATTACAACTTACACACAAATTACACACATCTCACTTACACATAAATTACACACATCTCACTTACACACACATCACACACATGTCACTTACACACACATCACACACATGTCACTTACACACACACATCAAACACATGTCACTTACACACACATCACACACGTCACTTACACACACATCTCACTTACACACACATTTCAGACATCACACAGCCCCAGTTTCAGGTCCTCGCACCCGGGCAGAATTGTGCGCTGCGGACGCCCCCCTATTCATGTCCACATCATACCAATATCATTCCCCCAGACACATTGTAATCACGATGATAAAAGACTCTCTGAGGCAGCCAATCAGGGGACGGAATAAAAAAAGATTGAGAGATTAAAAAAGCAGATACACGAGCGAGCGCCAACGACGGGAGCTATAAATAAACTGTAATCATCCGATCGCCAATTTGTCTTCATGATCTGCGGACAATAAAATGCTTATCACCAACTTCCCCAACAAATGCACTTCTCCAAATACAGATAACGGATGAACAATTCCCAGAAGCGCGGAGCGATCAGCCGGATAATTCCCCAAAGTGCGCAGCCATCGGATGAACAATTCCCCAAAGCGAGCAGCGATCAGCCGAATAATTCCCCAAAGTGCGCAGCGATGGGATGAACAGTTTCCCAAATCGGTTAAATTATTCGGTTAAATAATCCCCCGAATCGGTTGAACAATTCCCCAAAGCGAGCAGCGATTGGATGAACGATTCCCAAAAGCGTGCAGCGATCGGTTGAACAATTCCCCAAAGCGCGCAGCGATCGGTTAAATAATGCCCCGAATCATGCAGCAATTGGCTGAACAATTACCAAAAGTGCGCAGCGATCGGATGAACAGTTCCTCAAAGCGAGCAGCGATCGGATGGACAGTTCCTCAAAGCGAGCAGCGATCGGATGAACAGTTCCTCAAAGCGAGCAGCGATCGGATGAACAGTTCCCCAAAGCGAGCAGCGATCGGCTGAACAATGCCCCGAAGCGCGCAGCACATGGGCAAATCAAATCCATAGGGAGCATGAGATTTAACCCCGTGCTGGTTTCCTCATCCAGAAATCACATAGAGTGCAATGGGGATCTTTTCCACAAGGGGTTAAAGCTGGCGGTCACGGGGGATTAAGATCCCAGCAACCAGAATAAAGGATTCCATTGAAGTCTATGGAGGCCCCGGGAGCGATGTGACTGGCAGGGGGAGTGGGAAGGGCGCCGGTCTACCCCGCCATAGTCACATTCAACTGGACTTGTTCTGTAATGTTGAAGTGGTGCAGGTTTGTATCGCCTGTAGAACTACAAGTGTCAGCATGTCCTATAGCTGGCCATACACCTTGCAATGGAATTGAACAATCTTTGTTGTCAGAGCTACCAACAATTCTGTAGTACGAGAGCCCGCCTGGCTAGCTACAACTGGGGCGGACTGTTAGGTGGGGCTTCTACTACAGAGTTTTGGTAGATCTATAGGAGGTGAGGCTGGATTTGCGCCTTTGTATTTTGCGTATCATGGTGCACAACGCATGACGGTGCACCATGGACCCTCAATACAAAGCTCACTGAAACGCACATTGAAAACACTTGACAACACAAGTTAACGCACATTTGTATGCGTTGCCTTTCATTTCAATGGAAAACACTTAAGAAGGAGGGGCATGGGTGCCATAAGGTGCAGCCTTATATGTGCAGCCTAATTTACCTGTTACACCAAGCTACCGTGGCACTACAAGTCCCAGTGGACCTTGCCATTGTTGCCAGATTCTGCTCTTAAGCTACTCCAGTCTGTATTCAGGACTTGCAGATTTCACCATAGAGAAGCCATATGGCTCCCTTTCTGAGACTTGTAGTTCCACAACAACCAAAGCAGCATCCGAATCCAACCCCTGACTGACTACTTTGTTTTTAGATGCATTGGGAACATTCTTCATCCGTTTGTCTGTCTTTATAGTGAAGGACTACAAGTCCCAGGATCAGGCATACACCAGGCTCTCAGGGATGCTGGGACTTGTAGTTTCCAGTCCTCTAATCCTATCTTTTGTTACCCTGCAGCGAACGTAGAAAAAAGTCTCGGCAAAGCTGGCTCTTCTGCCTTCCACTTGGAGAACTACAAGTACCTGCATGCGCTGTCAGCCATTTGTTTTGCCATGCACAACAACCTAGTCACCCTTGTACCTAGGCATTGCACGGCTTTCTTACACCAGCCTATCACCATGTTGGGACTTGTAGTTCCCCCAAAGCCTGAGCTACAAACCCATTGACTACCTGTTTTGCAGAATCTGTACGTACGCTAAAATGATTACCCCTCCATCCTGATTAGGCAACTGTCATTTAACTGTCATTTCCTAAATACAGTGACCCTGAGCAGTCCAGCAGAATTCGCTCTGCCGAAGCCAGATCAAATACTGGTTGGTCGCTGCGTGCATCGGAGGGATGAGCGCCGTGCATTGAATCAGGCTGTATCGGGTTTACTCAACAAGGCTGCGCAGAGAGCAGAGGTGAGGTTCAATGTATGATAACAAAGTGGCTTAGTGGTTATCACTTATGCCATGCAGCACTGGTGTCCCCGGTTCAAATCCCAGCCAGGATATTATCGGCATGGAGTTTGTGTGTTTTCCATGTGCTTTCATGGGTTTCCTCCTGCATGCTGGTAGGTTAGCAGGCGCCTGTCTAAATTGACCCCGAGTATGTAAGAGAGGAACCTTAGATTGTAAGCTCCTTGATGGCAGGGATGGAATGTACAATATGTCATGTGCTGTGTTAATAGCTGGTGCTATAAAAACACCTGTAATAAGTAAATAGTAACCAACCAGATAACTGTCATTTTAAGAGATGATTTCTGATTAGTCGCTATGAGTCACTGCCCATTGCATACCCTCACTGCCCTTTGTATTACCTCGCTGCTCTTTGCATATACCCGCTACCCTTTGTATACCCTCACTGCCCTTTGTATACCCTCACTGCCCCTTGCATAGCCTCACTGCCCCTTGTATACCCTCACTGCCCTTTGTATTACCTCGCTGCTCTTTGCATATACCCGCTACCCTTTGTATACCCTCACTGCCCTTTGTATTACTTCGCTGCTCTTTGTATATACCCACTACCATTTGTATACCCTCACTGACTTTGCATACTCCAACTGCCCTTTGCATACCCTGATCCCCTTGTTATACCCTCACTGCCCTTTGCAGAAACGTACTGCCCTTTGTATACCCCCCTGCGCTTTACATTCTCTCACTGCCCTTTGCATACCCTCACTGCTCTTTGCATATACCCGCTTTCCTTTGCATACCCTCACTGCCATTGCATACTCCCACTGCCCGTTGCATACCCTCGCCACCCTTTGCACTGTACCACACCAAATCAGCCAAGCATCCTAGCCGGAACCTAACGCTAGCTCAAGTCGACAGCTGGAACCTATAAAATATCCCTGAGCTTTGCCATTTTATCCCTGAATGTTTCTCTAGTTTTCTGTTGGATTAAAAAACTTCTTAAACAAATGTTTCTTCTACGGACATTCTATACAGGCACCCATAATTGCCCGCAATAAAAATTGGCAGTTCCCTGAGCTTGTAGTATACTAGTATTAAAAGCATGCATGAAAAAATAAAGAACTATGGAATCTGAAAGATAGATAGATAGATAGATAACTGTGAAAATCCAGCCTAATAGCTCTGCTTAGTCATTTACCTGTTACACCACAATATACTGGTACTACAAGTCCCAGTGGACCTCACCAGTGTTGTCAGATTCCATATCTGCTCTTAGGCTCCTCCAGCCTTCAGGACTTGCAGATCCCACCATCACATTTCATCTTGCTCCCTTTCTGAGACTTGTAGTTCCACGGCAACCCAAGGGGCACCTGAATCCCTTGCTGCGTGTATCGGAGGGATGAGCACCGTGCATTGAATACGGTTGGGTTTATTCAATAAGGCTGTGCAAAGAGCAGTGACGATGTTCTAAGTGGCTTAGTGGTTAACACTCCTGTTTGCAAAGCTGGGGTCCATGGTCCAAATCCTGACCAGGACACTAGCTGCGTGGAGTTTGCATGTTCTCCCTGTGCTTGCATTGGGTTTCCTCCAGCACTCCAAAGCTTGGAGTTGAATTATCAAAATTGATCAAAACCTGTAGCACTTCTGCCTCGCAGCACTGGGGTCCCTGGTTTGAATCCCCATCAAGACACTATCTGCAAGGATTTTGCATGTTCCCCCAGTGCTGGCATGGGTTTCCTCCCAAACTCCAAGGACCCGCTGAAAGATGAATTCTCTAAATTGGTCCTTGTATGCATGTGAGAAAGGGACCTCAGATTGTAATCTCCTGGAGGTCAGGGACTGATGTGGATGTACACTATGTAAAGTATGAATAAAACAACTGTAGAATATCTATATAAGTTTTTTGGTAAAGAAAAGAATGTCATTTTTAAGCCTTGCTGAGATTTCCCAGGAGCAGACGACCCCCTTCTCTCCCCCCTACCCACAGAAAAATCCATATTTGCAATAATATAATTGACTTTATCATTGTGATCCTGCATGCATCTCCCTTACCTGGCTGTCTGTCTCCTTCCAGCGCTCCCTCTAAGTTTCCCATAGCTGTCCCTCTCTCAGTAGAGCACTGAGCGCCGACCCGGCCAGCCTGGCCGACCCGTTCAGTCCAGGTATTGCTGCCCAGCACCTGTCATCGCCACTCAATGATCCTTTTCAAGTCTTTGAGGCTTGCTTTATAATCCGCTCCCATTGCCTGAAGTTATTGTCATTGAAACAAAGCAGCCTTCACATTGTCTGTGTCCAGGGGAGTGTGGCAAGCTCGGTCTTTTCTTTTCGCAGTCTTTCGCAGCCCCCCCTAATTGCTGCGATAAGATTTCACGCACCTCTCCGCACCGGTACAGGTGCGCTGCTCCTCTGCTGACATCCCGACGCTTGCTGCTTCCTTAGCAGCGCAGCAAGTGGCTAATATAAGTGTGATTTCCTTGTGTGATGTGAATATGGAATGTCTTATGTCCCCCCTCCCTCCACATCCACCTTGTTGCAGGGCTGCGCTGCACACTCATGCATGCATAGCAACCACGCCTGGGATCAGCCCTGTCCGTGCTGTGTCAAGCCAAGAGTGAGACTGATAACAGCCAACGAGCTGGGGAAGGTGTATTATGGATTTCCATTTGATAGCTGCTTGTCAGCTCCCTGCTAATCCAATCACTCAAAGGGAGAGGTGGGTGGCAATACTGTACAGACCTGGAGAAGGGAACACTCCTAACATCTGCTTGGGGTTAAAGGTACACATCCAAATAAGAGCATTTGGCATGAAAATGGAAAAGCAGAAGATGACTTTGCTGGGAGTTATTATTTCCCATTATTGCCCAGAAAAAAAAACTACCCTTGTAGTGGGGTTACCCCAGCCCTGCAAGGGTTAACTGGTCTTTGTCTATAAGGGGGCTGGGTAAAGGGCTTTTACTTAACTGATCCCCTCCCCTGCGGGCTTCGAGACCGGCGTCCGCAACATCTTCCCCCCTGTGCTCTGTCGATTGGACGCCCGCTGACATTGTCACGTACTATGCAGTGTCCATAGCCCTGCATTTGACGTGAGGGCGACCGAAAGATGATCCACCTGGCGGAGCATAGGGGGGAGGAGTGAGCGCCAACTGTCGAGGGGATCAGACGGTGGTGTATCCAGGGCATGGCACATATGGCACATGCCCTGGGTGCCGCTTGAAGGGGAGGTGGAACAGCTCCCTGGGTCAGCAAAGGTTTGGAGACAGCTGACTTCTTTTGACTAAGGCAGTGATGTCACTGGTTGCCAGGAGCTAAGCAGGACACCCCCCAGAGACCAACTCCTGGGAACTAGCGACGTCACTGGTTGCCTGTAGCTCGGTGGGTTGCTGGTCAGAGTGCCCCGTCCAGCTCCTGGAAACCAGTGATGTAAATGGTTGCCAGGAGCTGGGCTGGGCGCCACCCAGAGTGCCTGTCCAGCTTCTGGCAACCAGTGACGTCACTGGTTGCCAGGAGCTGGGCGGGACGCCATAGGTGCATTTTATAGTAGGTACTCCTCTGGGATCAGGTAAGTCAAAGTCCTCATCACCATACTCCTAGACCAGGGGTAGGCAACCAGGGGTAGTGAAGTTGCTGGTTGCCAGGAGCTGGGCGGGACACCAAAGGAGCATTTTATAGTAGATATGCCTCTGCAATCAGGTAAGTCAAAGTCCTCTTCACCGTACACCTAGGTCAGGGGTCAGCAACTTCGGCACTCCAGCCACGTAAAACTGCAAACCCCATTATCCTTCTGCCTCTGGGAGTCATGCCTGTGAGTGTTGGAGTCTTGCAAAGCCCCATGGGATTTGTAGTTTCACCACAACTGGAGTGCAGAGGGGAAAGAAGCTTGAAAAAAGAAAACTAATGCAGCCACCACATCTAAGGAGCGGTGGGCTGCAATATATTACATTTCTGTTCATGGGTTTAATGTTTGAACAGCTGCGCAGATATCAGCCACACGGGTCCTACATGATGATCACTGGGTCATATGACTCATGGACTCGCATGGTATAATGAGCATGGAATAATGAGCAGTAAAGCAACCCTAGTGTAGCACTGCGGAGCAGGAAACAGAGGCTGCTTATGTAATGAGTAAATATACTGTAGGTTACCAACATGGACATATAGAATGAATTACAGGAGACAAGGTTTAAAAATAAAAATAGGATAAATCAACAAAAAAACACATAGAGGGGAATTTATCAAAACTGGATCAGACAAAATCTGGAGCATATTTGCACTGCAGCCAATCAGCTTCTCTCTCTCATTTTCAAATATTACCTGAGCAAACTGAAGAGAGAAGCTGATTGATTGCCATGAGCCCCTGCTCCAGGTTTTGTCTACTCCAGTTTTGATAAATTCCCCCCATAATATGTAAGAATATGTACATTTGGTAAAGAGCACTCAAATTCCAAGTTTATAACTTCTATAGGAACAAAGAAAACTTGGCCAGCTCAGTCGCTATGGACAACGCACGCTTCTTCCATCGCCCCCTGCGCAGCCCTCCCAGTATAATTAACCCTGATACTGAAACGTCCTCGTATTTATTTTTATTTCAAATTATCATGGCTGACTAATTCCGAGGAGCAACGACACACACATTCATTATTCCCTCTCCGTGATATTACATGAAATCATCAGTCACCTGGAATTATGACAAATGTTTC